AGCAGGCCTGTTATCTACACCATGAAAAGGCGATATCGATCGATATCATCATATATATAGCAGGGAAATTAATAAACAAGTTTGTACGACGTAGCTCTTGATGAGWARATAGGAAGAAGAAAATACATACCTGCGACAGATCTAAAGAGTTGCCTCGATCACAGTTCATCAGTYKGGTYCCAYTACTGGAGCATGGAAAGAGGCCATGCACAGTGAATTCCTGCGAAACCTTTCCTGTGTTTGGGAAGCAACAACCTTTTTCTGACCCACAAAACGACCCTGCCCACTAATAATTAACAAAACAAATATGAATAAACAACCATCACAATTTAAGAAATGAATTAACGAATGATTAATTCTGGGTCGGTCTTCTCCACTCACCACTTGCGCATGAAGGAAGAAATGGACACTGGTAGCATGTGAAACACTCAGAGCTGCTAAACATTGTATGGCAAGAATCGTAAGTAGAAATGAAGAAGCGGATGCCATGGTTTCCCTACTCTTACTTCACTTCACTTCACCCAAGCTCAATCTTTTTGGCGATGGTGCATGGTGCTCGGATAGCCACATTTATAGGCAAAAATCGTATGAACATTTCGTAGAAAATTGTAGAGAATACACCCAGCATACAACCATAGATCGATACAGCCATATACAGTATGCTAAAGCACGTGGGTATTGTATTTGTAGTTGTCGTTTCTTTATCTTGGAGAATAATTTGGGTCCGTGCATGGCACAATGTTGTTGGATAGGTGGGAGAGTTGAAAGGACATAAAATAATGATTCTGGTTTAGTGGTGGTCCAGCGGACAAAGAAGAGAAGAAGTAGCAGACGTGGCGATTTGCTTCAGCTGAAATTCATGAAATTCTATTTATTTTAGCGGTAGCTTTTGTTTCTCTTTCTTATAAAGAACCGAAACTACGGGCCATGACCATGAGATATAGACTTATAAAATTGACGTGCCGCATTGCATCCCGTCCAATATTAAATATTACTAGGAGGCAAAAGTGGATAAAGCAATGTTTTCTCATTAATGCCTAAAAGGACAAAACAATTAATTTCTTTCAATCTTATCATATGAGGTAAAAGGTAAAACATGTTATCTTATTTCCTCCACAAGTTTATATCCTCCTTTTATCTTCATCTCTTTTTCAAGATATTATTCAGCTAAAATCGAAAATGTTAACTTGAATCATTAATTTGACGCGTGTAAGGAAGATCAAAACCCACCATTGAATGCTTTTCACCTTAGAAATTGTCGATGCTTTCAAATTTGGAACCGAGGGGAGTAGAGCAATTGTTGGAAAAAATGGGGTTACACAATCTTGAGGAGAAGCGTTCTGAGGTGTGTCTGAAGATACTATTTTTAGAATGTTATTTATTTCACTCACTTATACTCAGTTTGTTGTTGGGTTACGTGCAAATTCATTCACATGATACAACATATCCTTGGACGAGAATCTGCAATTAACAAAATGGAAGAGTCTCCAAAGAAACCTTATGTGAGATAGTAGCAAATCGAACTGAGAGAGACAAAAGTGATTTTTCGAAAACTTGTGTTCAATTGCTCGATTCACATTCCTTAAATAGTCTCCAAAGAAAACTTGTGTTCAAGTTTTGAAAACTTGGCCTGCTTTAGTCCTTCCCCCCTTGGTATGGACACTCCTATTACTTGCTAATTATGGCTTTGGCCGAACTTTGGTGCAGTTTTCTAATAGGTTGTTGGTTCATTCTTGTAGAGATGGAGGGCGGCATGAAGGCAATACTGTTACTTGCTAATTATGGCCCGGTCGAGGGAGCCAACAAGAAGGCACTTGTGCAGAAGCGCCCGGTCGAAGGCATCTGAGAGCCATGGTCTGCCAAGAAGTTGCAAGTGAGGGAGCGCTGAGCTAAGGGGACTTCTAGTGGATCCCGTCAAGTTGCTCCGTACTCCTCTAACGCTCAGCATCATGAGCCCCTTAATGCTCGTCTGGTCTACAAGCCAACTTGGAATGTCAATGAGGGAGAGTCCTTGTTCACATTCGAGATTGGCTAACAACTCGTCGTAGGGATGGTGCTTCCCGGTGATCGTCAGTCTAGGATACTCCATTAACTCGGTTTGGAATACCTTGCTAGATAAGGTGGCCAAGGTATGATTTTGGACTTCATCGATTGTTATAGTGTCTTGACTAGTTCAAACTAACTTAAATTTCTTTCTATATATGGTTTCCTACTCTGCCGATCTCTACGACAAGGTGGAGGTCTTGATTCAGTGCGACTCAAGCATCAAGTGGCCGAAGTGCAGGCAGGGCGAGAGATGGTTGAGAGTAAAGCTCATGAGGAGTACGAGCACCGTAAGAAGGCTGAAGCTGAGGTTTCGGCGAAGGAGGAATTGGTGAAAGGGTTGAAGTCCTCCCATAGCTCGATGGAGCACTAACTCAAAGAATCATCTTCACACGTGGTGTCTAACTATAAGGCCTCAAACGAACACAAAAGGAACTTGGCCTAGTTCACTTCTCGCACTTATTTGGAGGGTTTCAAGGATTGTATGGTACAAGTGTCAAAGGTTTTCCCAAACTTTGACCTTAATCAACTAGATCCATTCCCTGACGCCCAACAATCAGTTGAGGTTGTGGAGACGGCCAAGGACCAAGGTGGTGACGATTCTTTGTAGGTTGACGGGCAAGAGGTGGCTGGTAAGGGAAACACTGGGGCCAATGGCCAAACTAGGGATGCCCACTAAATACTTTTTCTTCATAGTTGTGTGGGCCTGTATGCCCTTTGAAGAAATGTTGCTTTTGCTTTGTTTTTTTTTTAAGTATGGGGCTGATGCTCCCCTCAGAAGCTTTTTTGTCAAAGAACAAGTGTGAATAAAAGTTTCTTCCTTTGTAAAAAAATGCTTTGTATAGGTAGGGTAAGGCTTGGATGGGAGATGGTCTCTTTGAAGGACAAAGAAAGACCAAGGATTAGGGGGATTGGCTTTTAGGCTAGAGTGCTAGGGTAAGGAATCCAAGATTAAATGGTGTTTGATTGTTGTGTGCGGAATGAGTTTCAATACGTGGAGGATCTCTATTTATGGGGGAGATCCCGAGATCCTGAAAGGTAGGAGATAAAGGTGCTTGTGACCTATCAGGAAAGGGAATATTACGTTTGTTGTCAATCATTGGGTGCACCACTAGGGCTTCGCCACGTGTCTCATAGGGATCTTCCTAAGGATCGGCTTTTCTTTCACTCGGGAGTCCTCATTACTCACGTGTCTACCACCTCTTGTGTGCCCTACATAATTGACGTGCCACTTGTGACGTCATTGCTTGGCAGGCGATATCTTGTTAGTCACACGTGGCGCCTTGCCACGTTTATCCCTTTGGAGTCAGGCGTGTAGGTGTCATTGGGCGCAATTCTTTAACGGGCCATAAGTTTATCGTATGTTCGAATAGGTGTGGGACCTTATCGCGGGTTTGGCCATGGTTTCCTTTTGCTCGGGCTATGAGTGGTAAATCGCTATGGGTTCATCACAGGTCTGGGGTGCATTGTGGGTTCGCCGCAATGGGGAAGTTGGTTGTTTGGTTGTTTGCATGCAAATGCGCGGTATCAATTTAGTAATTGATGTTCTTTGAGGGTCTTAGTGAACACTATGTACCTACATTAGCTCCCCTGCTTATCAATAAGTGGGAGCTTATCAATAAGCACTTTGCCTTCTCATTTTTGGGTTTTGTAGTGGGTTCGCTTATGTGCATTGGGTCTGGGGATTTTCCCTATTTTGTAGCTTTGTATGGATCCTGCATACCTTGTGTCCGTGGTGGTAGTTTCTTACATTCCACGGCTTAGCCCCCCTGTCTTTTGGTAATTTTCTTCCTATCAATGGTCAATGCCATGCTTTATTTGTGTGTTCTAGCCCCCTGACCATTGATAGGAAGATAATTGGCAAAAGACATTAGAAGGAGAAAAAGAAACTGATTCTAACCAATTCCCATTGCTAATGGTGGTACTCATGTTCGGTTTGTAAAGTTTAACTCGCCTAGTCATTTGCCGAGGGGTGTTTGTTGAAATGTTAAGCCCCCAAACTATCGTTAGTGAGAAAGGGACTAGCAGATGGTTCTGTTGGTACTGGTTTAGCAAGGGCAAAGGCCACTTGTGTGACGATGCACAAACTGTTTGATCGATGATGGGTGATTGAACTACTAACGTATTATGTTGATGATGGGGTTGAGACGGTCATTGGGCGGCGCCCACGTGGCAGGAATGATTAGCAATCTCTTCGTTAATTAAGCGGTAATTAACGTGGCCTGACCGCTCGTGCGACATTATTTTGTTACCTGATATTTAAAATGACAGAAGCACACGTGGCACTATGTTTGAATGAATGAACTGTTTTATCCCCCCTTTTAAAGGGTGTTTATGTAAATTACATGAGTTACTTTTCCGCTAAGCATCATTTCAGGTCTTGTACTAGCATCTATTCATCTTCTCTGAAATTCGGGAGTAAATTTTAAAAACAATCTAAAAAAGTCAATAAGTGGTGCAGTTTGAAAATAATTCACGTTCAGAAAAGAACCAAAGCCAAAATAAACAGAGAGAACAACTCTTCGCTGAATGCTTAAGAGAAACTTAAATTAACCAAAAATTCCCCTAGTTTTTCCCTTATCTATTCTTTATATAGACTTCTTTACACCTTTGTTCCTCCTACCAGGAAGTTTTCTAATATAATATACCACTCATTATAGTCCTACTAAATCTCTTTAAAAAAGAAAAAAAGTGCTAATTGAATACGAATTTGAAAATTTTTCCATTCTGCACGTACCACATTAGAGATTGAAGCATTGGCATTAAGGAGGAAGGAGATGCTCTTATTATAATCCATAAAACGCTAAAGGATCATTAGGTGAATTATCATTCTAAAAATGAAAAGCATACCTAGCTTTGTGGCATTGTAGTGCACTATGACCAATTTTGTTGCAGATTTGACATACAATACCGGGATTTTTATTACCACAATCTCCCCTAGGAAACTAAGGAAAGAACTATTGTTGTTGATTGTTTTGAAAAAACTGCTGATGATTGGATGGGAAGGGTCCTTGACCCCTACCCCTACCGTGGCTATTATTGGAATTAGAGAAGTGTTGAAATTGTTGATTAGGTTTTCCTTGCTGTGAAGAATTCTTATTTTATGTACCAGTAAAATTGGCATTAACAGATCCATCATTCATAGAGCAAGATTCTAATTTTCATGGTTGAGTAGCAATCCCATAATGTCATGAATACCAAGACTATCGACATCAGGACAATTTGTAAGAATAGTAACAACAGAATCATATTCACTACCAAGACCAACAAGAATAGAAAGAAATAGATCAGATTTGGTTACCAATTCAAAAATAGTCGAAATACTATCTGTGATTGATTTTGCCCGCTGAATGTAGGCGAAGATAGATAGAGATCCCTTCTTTAAACTCTAAAGTTGACTTCTTAATTGTAGAATCCTTGACCTAGAGTAGGTCGTATAGCTCTTTGCAAGTGTTCCCCATACTTCCACTAAAGTGTAGAGACCAACTACTTGCGCCATCA